TATTGGGCAAATCTGGTAACACTATTTCAAAACAACTACTCCCTGGAGTAATTTGAACTAATTACTCCCTACTGCTTCCTGGGGCTCTAAGTCCAAGGTAATGCGCCACATCAACGGAGCCAGTTTCAGACTAATTTCATGGCTTCCCTGTAGTGTGGACATGCTAGTTTGATTTTCTTAAATCAGGAGTTATTAAGTTAAATTTACTAATTTTGAAATAGTTTCCTGGTGTAGACACAATCAAGTAGTGCTAAACCTTGGCAGCTGTTGCTTGCCTCCAGGACTCTCAGGAGTTTCAAGGAATTCTCTGACAAACCAAAACCAAAACAAACAATCTCTCCCCCACATCCCCAAAATAGCACCTCTCTTAACTCTGCATAGGTACTTCATGTCTTTCTTTGTTGAGTGCTATCTTTTTGTGCCAGCTTAGCAGTGTTCAAATGAGGGGGTGGCATCGATGTTGCAGAAGTAGTAAAGACAGAGGGAGCCACAACAGGGCTGGAAAGGGTTGGCAAGAGAGAGAGATGGAAAATGGGAGTTGCTGATAACAAGGATCATTTAGTCTGATACGTAAAAAATGTTAAAAATGGATATAAAATGGGGGTGGCAGGTTGCTCTTCCCATGCCAGAGTTCTCAAACTATGGGTTGGAACCCTAGCATTGGTTGAGACCCCATTTCAATGTGGTTACCAGGACTGGATTAGACTTGCTGGGGTCCAGGGCTAAAGCCCAACCCCCACGGCCTGCTGACAAAGCCAAAACCCAAGTCCCACCACCTAAAAATTCATATCCCTTACTGTTCTGATCACCCCTCCCATGCAGCACAGCTCATATTGTTGGAAAGGAACTTGTGGGCACTTTGATTCTTTTTCTGGGTGAGTTTTTCTGTGGCTAGATATACTGACCACACAGCTTGTTTGAATCTGGCCTAGTATCTGGAAAGTAATCCCAGATTATTTATATTTCTGGGCTGTGTCTAGACTGGCAAGTTTTTCCGCTAGCAATATAGGCAAATATATTTGCAAATACAGTAAAACTCCAGTTGTCCAGCATCCAGTGGTCCGGCACTCCCGATAGTCTGGCACCAACTGGAACCCAGAAGTGCTACGGCCAGCTGGACATTTGGAGCTGCTGTGAGCCCCATGGGTGCTCGCTGCTGGGAAAGGAAAGGCGAGAAGAGGGGAAGGGGATTATACCCCTGTGACGGGTCTGCTGGGACCTGCACTGCGTCCAGTGAGGGGGAGCCTGTAAGCAGGGGTGGAGGAGAGGGGGCAAGGCGTCAGGTGAGGGGGAGTCAGCGGGGAATGGCGCGGTGAGCGGCGAACCCTCTAGGACCCGCACTGTGTCCAGCGAGGGGGGAGTTGCTGGGGAATGGCGCGGTGAGCGGTGAACCCTCCACCGTTTTGCAGGGAGGTGGGGAAGCCCCACACAGCCACCTGGCAGGTGAAATCGTGTTATTCTGGGGACAGTCGTATAATTCAAAAAGCGTTCCCTAAAAAAAACCCCATGCTATCACGAAAACGTGTTAAGCGGGCACATGTTAAATGAGGAATTACTGTATTGTCAACTCCCAATATCCCCTGGGCCAGGAGTCTTTCTCCCCCATGTCCCTCTGCTACAAATACTGGGGGAGAGTCGCTGGAGTTAGACCCTCAGCTCCTTCTGTCCCAAATGGATCCTGGAGCAAAGGGATGTGGGAAGGGCCCTTCATGAGGACATGCTCCCCTGGCTGCTCTAGGAAGACAAGAAGGGACCCACGGCCAAGCACAAACCTGGCTGGAACTGTGGTTGAAACATGATCTCCTTAAAGTCCCAAGATCTTCACTGAATCAGGAGAAGACAGACTTGAGTCGAGTTCATCTCATTCCCTGTTCTTATTCTGCCTTCCCAAGGGGAACACTCCCAACCCACAGCCTCTGGCAGCCTATTGGAGCCAGCCTGCCTGACATCAGGAAGCTGGGATCAGAGTTTACTTACATCAAATTCAGGGAGGTAGATGGAGGTAGATCAAATTCAGGGAGGTAGATCAGAACAGGGCTCTGCTGCTCCTTACAGCCTTGGCTCTTGTTATGCTTAAACGAAGCACACGAGATCTTTTATGGGGGAAAAGGCAGTATGCCGCATTTATTAAGAATACAACAGTTGCATATGCTTTTCAATCATACACGCACAAGACATCATGCATACAAAGTTCTGCCAGATGATATCATAGTTACCAGTCCAGAGTCTGTGTTAATCTAGTGGCCAGCTAAATCGAGCACAGAGGGGCGCAGGGCCTTTGTCGGTCACGATCCGATGCGCCTGTCAAGATGGTGGCAGACGAACCCAAGTTCCATAGCAAAGCACCCTGCTTTTTATAATCCATTTCTCTTGTTGAAATCCATGGATTCCGCTCTGTCAGCTTGTGACTGGAATGTTATCTTGTTGATGTCAATCGTTCCCAAAACATCTATCGATGGCTCATCCTGTAATCAATCATTCTTTTGGGGTGCTTGGTCCGCTGTAAGGTTGTCAATCTGCCAATTATCCAATCTTCTTGTGAGTAGGGGGTATACATCAATGGCTATAGATGGCTCCTCTGCAGTCAGGTTGTCTCGTCCTCTGGCCTTCGCCCACACTCGCTCAACCCCCTTCTTTGGCCATCTGGTTCTAAGCCGTATAACTTTGCATCTTATCTCGACACATTCACACTCCTCTCACACACAAGTAATGTTACAAGGACTTTCGAGGTTACAGATCTGCAATTGTAAATCAAGCAATTAAGGCTTTGGCCTTGCACATTAGCAGTATTCCTCTAATCTTATTAACATAGCCACAAAACCGAAAACTGTTTTTCTACTTTAGGACATTTACTAAACTTCAGAACAAAGAAAATAGACCTTCAACTGTAAGGACTTAATTTAAATGCAAAATATTAAATGTATGTCAATATATATGCCTTATATTGCTATATTATTGCTACATTACTACTATATTACTATATGATTATATATATTACTTACATTACTAAACCTAAGATAAGAAATATAAAAAGAATAAAACTTTCAACCCTAACACTCTCTCTGGGGACACTCTAGAGCTTATGCAGAAGTTGACACATTGTAGAGGAAGGAAGGCTCAATAGACCGGTGCGCATGCTGTGCAAACGAGCCCACCCCCATTCCCAGTGCTCAGGGTGAAATATCTGATTCACTGAACTTGGTGCTTGAGAAGGGAATTGTCAAAATGTGTCTTTGTCTCTCTAGACTGGGACAATATTCAGAGTTTGGGCTGGTCTCATCCTTTCATAACTCCTGACTCATGATCAGCTCCTCAGGGTGGAGACAGAACCCTTTCGCCTCATTGGCTCAAAAGTCTTTGGTATGACAAAAGGAGGGATTGTGAGGACAGTTCCCCCTCACACACACACAATTTCAGCTCCATAGGAGAGAAGGGCTGGTTTCCTTCAGACCCACCTGGTTGTCTAGAAAGGCATCTGCAACTCTTCTGTGAGGACCATCTTCCTGAATCTCACAGCAGGAGCAGGGGAGGATGAGCAATGGGTGTAGGAACTGAGGCTCTCACTGCCAAAGCTGTCCATGCAGGCGACAGGCCGGCTGGGGAAACCCAGCCACCGGCCTGCAAGCGGGGGTGGAGGAAAGGGGGCAAGGCGTCTGGTGAGAGGGAGTCAGTGGGGAACAGCACGGCGAGCAGCGAACCCTCCACCACTTTGCAGGGAGGCAGGGGAAGCCCTACACAGCCACCGGCAATGGGCTGGCTGGGGAAATCGTGTTATTCTGGGGACAGTCGTGTAATTCAAAAAGCATTCCCTAAAAAAAACCCCATGCTATCACGAAAACGTGTTAAGCGGGCACATGTTAAATGAGGAATTACTGTATTGTCAACTCCCAATATCCCCTGGGCCAGGAGTCTTTCTCCCCCATGTCCCTCTGCTACAAATACTGGGGGAGAGTCGCTGGAGTTAGACCCTCAGCTCCTTCTGTCCCAAATGGATCCTGGAGCAAAGGGATGTGGGAAGGGCCCTTCATGAGGACATGCTCCCCTGGCTGCTCTAGGAAGACAAGAAGGGACCCACGGCCAAGCACAAACCTGGCTGGAACTGTGGTTGAAACATGATCTCCTTAAAGTCCCAAGATCTTCACTGAATCAGGAGAAGACAGACTTGAGTCGAGTTCATCTCATTCCCTGTTCTTATTCTGCCTTCCCAAGGGGAACACTCCCAACCCACAGCCTCTGGCAGCCTATTGGAGCCAGCCTGCCTGACATCAGGAAGCTGGGATCAGAGTTTACTTACATCAAATTCAGGGAGGTAGATGGAGGTAGATCAAATTCAGGGAGGTAGATCAGAACAGGGCTCTGCTGCTCCTTACAGCCTTGGCTCTTGTTATGCTTAAACGAAGCACACGAGATCTTTTATGGGGGAAAAGGCAGTATGCCGCATTTATTAAGAATACAACAGTTGCATATGCTTTTCAATCATACACGCACAAGACATCATGCATACAAAGTTCTGCCAGATGATATCATAGTTACCAGTCCAGAGTCTGTGTTAATCTAGTGGCCAGCTAAATCGAGCACAGAGGGGCGCAGGGCCTTTGTCGGTCACGATCCGATGCGCCTGTCAAGATGGTGGCAGACGAACCCAAGTTCCATAGCAAAGCACCCTGCTTTTTATAATCCATTTCTCTTGTTGAAATCCATGGATTCCGCTCTGTTAGCTTGTGACTGGAATGTTATCTTGTTGATGTCAATCGTTCCCAAAACATCTATCGATGGCTCATCCTGTAATCAATCATTCTTTTGGGGTGCTTGGTCCGCTGTAAGGTCGTCAATCTGCCAATTATCCAATCATCTTGTGAGTAGGGGGTATACATCAATGGTTATAGATGGCTCCTCTGCAGTCAGGTTGTCTCGTCCTCTGGCCTTCGCCCACACTCGCTCAACCCCCTTCTTTGGCCATCTGGTTCTAAGCCGTATAACTTTGCATCTTATCTCGACACATTCACACTCCTCTCACACACAAGTAATGTTACAAGGACTTTCGAGGTTACAGATCTGCAATTGTAAATCAAACAATTAAGGCTTTGGCCTTGCACATTAGCAGTATTCCTCTAATCTTATTAACATAGCCACAAAACCGAGAACTGTTTTTCTACTTTAGGACATTTACTAAACTTCAGAACAAAGAAAATAGACCTTCAACTGTAAGGACTTAATTTAAATGTAAAATATTAAATGTATGTCAATATATATGCCTTATATTGCTATATTATTGCTACATTTCTACTATATTACTATATGATTATATATATTACTCACATTACTAAACCTAAGATAAGAAATATAAAAAGAATTAAACTTTCAACCCTAACACTCTCTCCGGGGACACTCTAGAGCTTATGCAGAAGTTGACATATTGTAGAGGAAGGAAGGAGGTCAGGCTCAATAGACCAGTGCGCATGGTGTGCAAACGAGCCCACCCCCATTCCCAGTGCTCAGGGTGAAATATCTGATTTACTGAACATGGTGCTTGAGAAGGGAATTGTCAAAATGTGTCTTTGTCTCTCTAGACTGGGACAATATTCAGAGTTTGGGCTGGTCTCATCCTTTCATAACTCCTGACTCATGAACAGCTCCTCAGGATGGAGATAGACCCCTTTCACTCTCTAGACTGGGACAATATTCAGAGTTTGGGCTGGTCTCATCCTTTCATAACTCCTGACTCATGATCAGCTCCTCAGGGTGGAGACAGAACCCTTTCGCCTCATTGGCTCAAAAGTCTTTGGTATGACAAAAGGAGGGATTGTGAGGACAGTTCCCCCTCACACACACACAATTTCAGCTCCATAGGAGAGAAGGGCTGGTTTCCTTCAGACCCACCTGGTTGTCTAGAAAGGCATCTGCAACTCTTCTGTGAGGACCATCTTCCTGAATCTCACGGCAGGAGCAGGGGAGGATGAGCAATGGGTGTAGGAACTGAGGCTCTCACTGCCAAAGCTGTCCATGGCCCTGACTGGATGTTTCATCCCTTTGCCCTGTCCCTGAAGGAGGCAGGGCCCAACACACCACTGCCCTGACCAAGGACGACCCACTGGGGTACAGGTTAGGAGAACAGACTGGAAAATGGATTTCCTGTCTCTCCTTTTCAGTACTCCCCAGTGCTAAGGTAAAGCTGCCCCTATCCCTCCTGACTATGCTCACCTTCAAGATGTATTGGAGCCTGTCTCTGTCTGGGGCTCTGCCAGCAGGTTCCCCCACATGGCTGGCCTTGTGCAGAGCCTGCAAAGGAAGGGACAGCCATGGGTTACAGTTGGGAGACTGACTGAGCAGGGAGCTATTGAGAGGGAGAAATTTCCCAATTAGCATCGAGACTCTGAGAAGTGGGAGGCTGAGAGGTCTCAGCAGATGTCCAACAGGATGGCTCAAGTCACCACCAGAAAGGATCAGTCTCAGAGCAATTCCAGCCCCACCTCTTTGTGAGGGCCTCCCACAAAGCCATGGAAGGGGGTACCTCTAAGGTTTCTCCTGCCTGCACCTCTGTACTGATTGGCTGATGTCGGAGTCTCTTTGTGAGGTCACCACCACCCTTCCCCAATAGGCTAAGGTCCTGCAAAAGGCTTTTGTGATATCATTGTCACACCCACCTCTCCCCTGAAAGGCTGATGTTCTGACCCTAGCCAGCCCCTCTTGGCACACTGACTGACAAGAAATACAGCATTCTCAAATGAGCTACCGAGCAACAACTGTTCATACTCATTAGTCAGCAACTATTTGAGAGGAACTGACACATTAAAGCAGTGGTCCCTAAACTCTTTACACCCAAGATCACTTTTTAAATCTCAGAACAAGCGAAGATCTACCGCCCCACCCTTTCCCCAACAGCCTACCCCTTTCGTGAAGCCCTGCCCTCTCTACATCACTTGCTATCCCCAGCCCTTATACACTCTACACTGCCACTTTTTCCCCCAATTCTTATGTAGGAAGAGGTTTTTCCAACATTTGGCATGTCTAGAAAACCCCCTTTTTTTGGAATCCCCCTTATTCCTCATGGAATGAGGAGCATAGGGGTTACTGAAAGAGCATGTTTGCTCTTCCACTAAAAAAAGTGGAAGAACATCCCTGGATGCAGATGAGTTTTTCTGTGAGCAGGGGACAGAGTGCTGGGGTGGGGGCAGGGTTCTGAAGCTGGGGACTGCAGGAGAGGAGAGGGTGCCGGGGAGAGGGGACAGGGTTCTGCAGCAGGGGGCAGGGTGCCAGTGGGGAACAGGAGAAAGGGAACAGGGTGCCAGGGGAAGGGATAGGGTGCCCTGGACTTCGCCCTCCCCCTCCCCTTCCCCCTCTTGAGGAGCAGGGAAGCCCCTGTGTGCGCCTCCTCTGGGACCAACTCACTCCTCCCGCAGATCAGGGAAGCCCCCACACGCGCCTCCTCTGGGGACTCCCTCCAGGCAAGTTCCTGGCACGCCAAAGAACTTGAGGGAGTCCCCTGCACCAGCCTCCTCCCAGGTCTCCACCCCTAACCCTCCTCCCCTGCGGTGCAGGGAAGCCCCCGTGCACCTCCTCCAGGGCCGACGCCCCCTCCCGCAGTGCGCCCAGCATGCCACAGACCTGGGGGAGGGGAGCAGTCAGCGCACTTCCAGAACCCCTGGAAGTGGCGCGAAGCTGCAGGATTTCCGTTCACCCCGCGGAAAGCCGGCACTTCCTCCATTGTCGCTGGAGGTAGTGAGTGGGACTTCTTGGGAGTGGAGGGAAAATGGGGGGGCCCCGAACACCTCGCGATTGACTGATTGAGGCCTTGCGATTGACCGATTGATGACTACAGCATTAGAGAGAATCAGGAATTGTGTAGAGAAAATTGCCAAGCAGCACAATCAATCAAATACATGATTGCTTGTGATTTATTTGTTTGGTCTTAAGAGAATTAAAGGACCTCCATCTTCCTTTTCAATTACCCCCTGCTCTGTCAATCAGCACTTAGACTCTCCAAAGCATTCTCAGCAGATGTATTAAAGGATGGCCCAGGTCACCACAAGAAAGGATCAGTTTCTGAGCACTTTTCCAGTCCCATCTCTTTGTAAAAGTCTCCCTCAGTGTCAGCAACCCCTCCGACACACACACACACCTGTTTGGAGGAGGCAGGGAGGAATGGAAGATAGGGGGGACAAGAGAAGAAGAGAAAGAGGGAGGGAAAAAGGAAAGGGGAAACCTAAAAGAACAACCCCTCAATGTCCACAGTGATTCTACCAGATAAAACCCTTGGTAGGAAATTAAATCATCTTAATCTAGTGATTTCTATGCCTAGAATTCAGCTGGTAGCAGGTGAATCAGACTGAACAGAATCCAAACCTCTCTGAGACTTTTACCTTCCACACAGGGACTACAAAACTAGTAGTAGAGAAGGAGAAAACTCGAATGAGGTTCCTCCTCATGCTCACGTACATTAATCCTAATTCTTTCTCAATCCTCAAGGAGGGACCTTGAGAAGGAACCTTGCTACTGCAAAGCCATAGGAGTCTGTGAGGTTGGCCCTGCCTTGCACCTCTGTTCTGTCTGGCTGATGTCAGGGTCTCTCTATGAGGTCACCACATCCCCACCACTGTTCCACAATAGGCTGAGATCCTGAAACAGGCCTTTGTGATGTCACTGCCACACCCATCTGTAAAACAGAGATGTTCCTTTGAGACTTACTGATGAAAACTGCTGTAATAGGGTGAGGTGTTAATTATTATTGTCAACATCCTGAAGTATGGGGGCAGGCATGTTTGCTGAAATGTGAACATATACTAATGGATACTGCACCTCACGTCAATGAAGTACAGTTGTTCTGAGATTAATTATCAATAGCTATGAACAGGCATACTCATTAGGGAGTATGGTACATGGGGAAAGACACAGTTGGTGCCTTCTGACCCATCATGTAATGGGCTCCTTAGACGCAGCTGGTTGCAGTATTATTATGATAGCAGTTAAAGGAAAATAAATATATGGATTGTACATAAGTGTATTATCCATGAATCATCAGAGCTCTGCCCCAATGGCAAATTCTCGTTATATGAAGGTGGCAAGGAAAGTCTGTGCATTTTCTTACTGCGGCCCCAAAACCATTGAGAACTGAAGAGGAGGGAAGTATAAAAATGTGAACAGCCTTGTCATCTTCACTCCCACCCATCCTTGTCTGTGTATGAACCATACTTACCTCTATTGCTGTTATACTCAGAGACCTCAATCAGCATCAGAACCCCATGAGGTAGGTGGGGCAAGGACGATAGTTTTGCTTTTTTGGGGAGAAGCCTAGCACATGTTTGGGTGTTCAAACAAAGAAAACATCTGAAAAGAAAGGTTAAAATGAACACAAGCGTTCAGGCCTCTCCCCACTAATTGACACAGCTCCCCCTGACCTCAGGCAGCAGGAGTAAGATTGGGACTTAAGACACAAAAATTTTGGTGTAGGTTTAAGAGTGTCCACATGTGGAGCTATACTGGTAAAACTGTGTGTAATAATTATGCCAGTAAATTTCCACCTGAAAACAAATGCCTCTCTCAAGCCTGGTTTCCATGAAACAAACATCTTTTTGTTTCATTCTTAACATTGGTTTTTCCCTTAATTTACCACTGCTGTTAAAATATCTTTTGTCCTTCCATTTTCAGTTATGGCCCCCTAGCTTTGGTTATTTCAGTCAAGTTTGGTGAGGGCATTCTTCCAAACAGGTCATTTCCCAGTGTGAAGTATTACAAAGTTTCACTTTACAATAAAAAAGAAAAAGAAAAAGAGGAAGCCCTTTCATAATGTACTATGTCTTACAGACAGCTGCAGTACAAATATAACAATCTCGTAGTCCTCAGAACAGCTTTCCCAAACCACTTGAAAGTTAAAAAGTTTATCTAATCTGGTGTCTTTCTAAGTATTTATATGGACTCCATCAACACAGTAATGTTTGAGTATGTTTCTATATATTAAATATACTAAAGACACAATAATTATTTTATAGTACATACATTAAGGAAAATATAACTTTTCAGAAGCAGGAACTTTAGGCCCCACTCCTGCAACTGGAACTGCACAAGAGGTCCCAGATGCCTAAGAAGTCAATAAATATTGTGGCTTCTATTTCAGGAATGGAGCCTTAGGCTTTGTCTGTAATAGACAAGTTGCACCAGATTTTTTAAAAATCTAAATATAGGCTTTGTCTGTAATAGACAAGTTGCGCCAGATTTTTAAAAAATCGAAATAGGTGCAAATGCCCAAATGTAATGCACTTACATCAGTTTAGCCTCAGTTAAATTTGTTTAGCTGAACTGAGTAATTTACTGATGGAAATATTTTAAAACAATATAAAAAAACTGTCCTTAAGAAATGTTCATATTACTACTGAAGGAACACTAGGTATTTAAATACAGGAACTCCTGTTTAAAAATGAAATACAGAAGTAACCAAATGACTAACAGTGTGTTTCAAAGCTGCTGAACTGTGAACATCTGCATTTTGCTCAGCTGCAACCCATACAATAGCCCAACTCTAATTACATACCAGGTTACAGTAAAAATAAAGGGGTCCCAAAAAATTAGCGCAAGTATTGTATGTACGACAAAAACAAAGTAGGTTTGATTAAGAAATGACAACAATCAAGAGGCTTGATTTCACTGAAAATGAAGCAATGGGCAGCAATCGGCTATTGCACACCAGGAGTTTGATTGTTCTTTTTTCTGCTGGAGATGCTTATAATATGCTTCCAGAATAATTTCTTTGTAAAGGTATTTTCATAACAAAAGGAACATCATGACTCATCTTGGAATAAAAACTTTCAAGAAGTCATGAGGGTAAAAGAAATAGCGGAAGGGGCATATAGCATTATTGGGTATGCCTTTCATATACTAATGTAACCCACATACCTAGTGTGGTTCATAGTCCCATGCAGTGGCACTTAGACCACAGCAACAGATAAGAACAAGAGACCTCTATAGCCTGAGCTTTAGTTCAAAGGGTAGAGGTTCCTACACTAAACTCCAGAGGTCCCAGATTCAGATGTGCCTTGTGGTGGTTACAAGTGGGTCTCTGAAGCTTGGGATGTGCTTCCTCAGCTAGGGGAAGTATGTAACCCACACACCTAGGGTATGTCTAGACTACATGCCTCTGCCGACAGAGGCATGTAAATTAGACTACCCGACATAGTCAATGAAGTGAGGATTTGGCTGTGCCGGCTCAGCTGATTGTTGGCACAGCGCGGCAGTCAAGATGCGGATCGGTCAACAGAGAACGCCTTTGTTGACCGCTCCCTTGTGCCTTGTGAAACAAGGTTTACAGGAGCGGTCGACAAAGGCAAATCCTCACTTCATTGACTATGTCGGGTAGTCTAATTTACATGCCTCTGTCGGCAGAGGCATGTAGTCTAGACATATTCCTAGTGTGGTTCACTGTCCCATGCAGTGGCACTTAGACCATAGATAAGAACAAGAGACCTCTACAGAACGGGCTGAGAGCCAGCTGGCTTCATAGCTCAAGCTGTAGATGCTCCTATACTAAATTGCTTCAGATCTGCTCTGTGACGGTTATACTATCTATTGTGTGCACTCTAAAAATCCACATAATAATAAGGGGGCAATAAAGTCTAGAGCAGAGGTGGGCAACCTGCAGTCTCCTTCCGGGTTCTAAGTGTGGCCCTTGAGACATTTTGTTTACTGTTGCCCACATGCAGGACTGAAAGATCATGCTGATTTCCAACTGTATAATATTCTTCCTACTAAAGTGACACGTGCGTAACGCAAGGGCATGTGAAGTGAGGTATGTGTGGATTGTACACAACATTGCCTGTCAGAGCTGCACGCTCCCGCCGCATCCAATCAAAGTGCTGCTATGGTTCAGTTGGTGCAACCCACAAGATAACCCTATCTTGGGAGACCATCTTGGTTATGACAATCTTGCAGCCCACTGAGATGAAGGAGAGCCTCTCATGCAGCCCATTCACTGGCCTCGGTTGCTCATTGCTGGTCTAAAGTATCCTCATGTTCTGTTGCTCCATCATGACACTAGGGCTACGTCTAGACTGAAAGCCTCTTTCGAAAAAGAGTGTCTAGACTACAACCAGTACTTTTGAAAAAGCAAGCCACCTTTTCAAAAGAGAGCACCGAGGCAGTCTGGATGCTCTCTTTCAAAAAAGCACAGTTTGTATTACATAGCGCTTTTTTTCGAAAGAGCACTTCAGCACTGGGATTCTGACAGCTCCATAGACCTTCAAACCACTGTGAAGGTCCATTGAGGATGGATCAATGCAGTATCTAAGCTGAAACAGGTAGTCCTTCATGTGTACATCCAGGATAACCAAGCCAAGGCCTTTATCTGTCATTCCACCTCCCTCAGCAAGGGCTCTGGTCAGTGTTCCCTCTAAACTGCCAGTCAGCACAGCTTCACAGGTGATTAATCAGCCACGGCCAGGGTGGGGCTGATTAATCACTTGTGAAGCTGCAGCTTAGAGGGAACATTGGCTCTGGTCCTTTTTGTTTGCATAGATTCTTAGATCTTAAACCAGGGGATAGTTTGAAAAGCTCCTAATCTTGGAGATGCTACATCATATGCAGTCTTCTAGAATTTTTAACAATTGGACCTCAGGGAAGAGGGGGTTTACAAGCTGGTGTGCATTACAGGAGAAGACAAATGGAAGACGGCCTTTCAAACCCACTATGGGCATTCTGAATATTCAGTAATGCCATTTGGTCTCACCAATGCTCCTGGGACCTTTCCACACTTTATGAACAATGAATTTAGACACATCTTGGAGTAAAATGCAGTCATCTGCCTTAATGAGTTACTTGTGTTTTCAGATAAACCTGAGTAACACTGTTACCACATTCACCTGGGAAGACTATGACATGGAAAGATTATATGTGAAACTGGAAAAATGTACCTTTGACCATCATCCACAATGTTAGAGAAGAAACAGGCAACCCAGGAGCAGAAGGGGTAAACGGAACTGCTTTATTGCCCACACACATTTACCTCAGACATTCAACACAACGTCTGAGTGGCAACCAACAGGTACCAATTAAATCCTTTTATCTGTTTTAGTATGTCTATGATAAGACATGTCTATCACTACTTTTCCTAAAACCTTATTTAGTAATGTTAACTCCCATAAAATGAATATTAATAAGCAGGTGATGAATATTATTATACCTGCCCCTAATTACCATTTTCAGAATTTTAACTTAAATTAATACTTTTCTACAAACACTACAAACCTTCTAAATCAGCAGGTTACAGAGATTACAAGAAATTGAACTCGCCAATGAGGATAAGCAAAAGACACGACAAAGAATAGCATCTGCATGCTTACCTATTTTTCTAGGCTGCAAAAATTAAGGGGAAGAGCCTGTTCAAGGGTAATGCCTACTGTGGCTGAACTCCTTACCGCTATCCCAGCCCCCTATTAATTTTTACATATCCCAACACACAGCATTTTTGAATAATATCCTTTGGCAAGAGGGCATTAGGATGTACCGCCAGAAGGTGAAGGACCTCCACAGCTGGGCAATGCCTTTTTCAAAGGAGTACAAAAGAGTATTCATTTTTCTGGGCTTTGCAAATGTTTACTGATGATTCAATCATAGAATCAGAGCTGGAAGAGACCTCAGGAGGTCATGAAGTCCAGCTCCCTGCCCAAGGCAGGACCAATCTCAGCTAAATCAACCCAGCCAGGGCTTTGTCAAGCCAAGACTTAAAAACTTCTAGGGATGGAGATTCCACCCCCTCCCTAGGTAACCCATTCCAGTGCTTCACCACCCTCCTAGTGAAATAGTTTTTCCTAATATCCAACCTAGACCTCTCCCACTTTAACTTGAGACCATTGCTCCTTATTCTGCCATCCATCACTACCATGAACAGCCTCTCTCCATCCTCTTTGGAACCTCCCTTCAGGAAGTTGAAGGCTGCTATCAAATCCCCCCTCACTCCTCTCTTCTGCAGACTAAACAAACCTAAATCCTTCAGTCTCTTCTCGCAGGTCACGTGCTCCAGCCCCCTAATCATTTTGGTTGCCCTATGCTGGACCCTCTCCAATGTGTCCACATCCTTCCTATATTCCATGCTACTTGGTACAAACAGCCCTGTCAGAGATTGGGGCCTACCTAATAAAATCCTTTACCAGGATGTAGGTGCAGGGTCTGAGTGGGAGGGAGGTGCAGAAGGGGGCTTGGGATGAGATTCCTGGCAAATGAAAGCAATGGGGGATGTGGGTGGAGCCCACAAGCCAGTACAGGGCACAGAGCTTTCCTGTGCTGCCATTCCTGGTGCAGAGCCACTGCCTCCCGTAGCCAGGCACAGCTTGCGAGCTGAATGTGGCTGTTGCCTTAAGTGGGTGCATGAGGAGCTGGATCCCTGGACTAGGGGATGTAGTTTTTTCACATCTCAGACTGACATAGCTATGTGTGAGCAGGGCTTTCAGTGAGCCACATTGAGATTGCTTGATCAGGGCAAACTGCAAAGAATGGGGCAGACAGTCCCTCAGATCTGGTGATTATTCTAAAGCAAGGGTCAGCAACCTTTCCGAAATAGCATGGCAAGATTTAACCCGCCTGCCCAGAGTCATGTGGCTCTCCATTGTGCACTCTGTGGACCACGTGTCTCAATGCAAACCTTTCCATGGACTATCAGTTGCTAATGGAAATTCACCGTTAATTATATAATTAAGCCAGAGGCCATTTTGCTAGTGCTGCAGTGAGGGAGAATGGTTTAATTTAACTTATTAAGCAGATTAAGCATTTTAATTTTCTCATGTTAGTTTATCAAACTTCATTTAAAATAAAGTAAAATATTATTCCCATCACAAAAAGGTTCAATATTTTCTTTATTGATGGCAGGGGTGGGAAATCTTTTCTGAGTTGGGGGTCACTGACCCACAGAGAAATAAGTTGGGGACCACACAAATCAGAAGCAAAAATCTCCTCCAAAGCACCCCAGTCCTCACTGATGTGGCCCCCAACTGAGTTATCTCACTCCTCTGGCACTCCAGCCCCATGGGTGAGGGAAGGGGAAGAGAGGACTGAGGTTAAGGGCATCCCATAGGGCAGATTTATTTTTCTGAGGTTCCAGAGTTAGTGAACTTTGTGGACCTCCTTAGGCTCTGCTGCAGACAGGGGCTGCTGCCAGAACAAAAATGAGGGGTTCAATGTGAGGGACAGGGCTGCCACTGAGTGGGATAGGGATGCAGGATGTGGGTGGGAGGTGGAGTGCAGAATGGGATAAGGAGGGCAGTGTCTGGAAGGAAGTTTGGCAGCAGAAGAGAGTGTGGGTGGGGGTACAATAGGGAGTTTGGGGGCAGGAGGGGTTTGGGGACGTAACGCAGAAAAGGTGAGAGGGTGAGAATGTAGCCAAATAGCTAGTTGGGTATGGAGGCAAAGAAATGGGGAGTAAAGGAAAGTGCAGCTTCTGCAAAGTAAAATAGTATCCCCACTCCCATCTTCCCTCTGCTCCAGCCTCACTCCCCTCAGCCCCATGATCTCCCCCAAAGCCCCATGTTCCTGAGTGCAACTCCTGCCTCCTCCTATCCTGCCCCTGCAGCCTGATACCCTGAATTTCCCCAATCTCTGCACCCCTCTCCTGTCCCCACATCCCCCTGTGTACTCATGGGTGAGGCAAGGTCAGGGAAGCGGCAGAGTCTCTTCCCTGCTCAGACCAGCCCTTTGCCTGCAGGCTGTGGCTCTGGGGCTAGGGCAGGCAGAGCCTGGGCTGCCTGGGTCTGGCTCCAGCCTGGCTGGTTGCAGGGGTTGCTGGGGAAGTGGCTCCCTGCCCCTGTACACAGCCAGTGGGGAGCAGCCCAGGCCCTTGCACACCACATGTGACCAGCCGCCCAGCCCTGACTCTGTAGAGGAGGCCCAGCCCCACCCCTTCCCAAAGCAGGAAGCCTGTAGCATTGGACAGGGGTTGGCCGTGTTAACCTCTTAGCTCCCGGGAGCTGCACAGCAGGGGCAGCCCCAGGGATGTGCACACACACCTCTCCTGCCTGCCTCCTTCCCAGCAGGGAGCCGGAGCTAGCATCCCAGCCTATAGCTGCTAGTCTGAGGCTGGAACCACAGCATGAGCTCCCAACTGAGTGGGGGGGCCAGGGCTGAGCTCCCGCCCCATGTGCCACAGGAAATTGGCTCATGTGCTACTTGTGGCACGCATGCTGGGGGTTGCCAACCCCATTCTAAATAATTAGTTTTGCTAATCCAGCAACAAACCAGTTTCTACAATACATGACTGGTTACCCAGAAACCCATTTTTAAATGCACAGACATCAGATCCCATTTCCCAAACCATAAAACAATAAAACCTCATAGATTTATCTAAACTTTACCCTACTTATTCTTGGAGGGAGACATTCTGTCTGACTCCCTCAGTAGCTGGAGAGAAAAACTGCCCCATAGACAAAGGAGAGGGAAAAACCAAAAATTCCTTTGTCCCAGTTTGAAATTCCTACCTGTATTCCTATTGGCTGACTCTACCTGGTTTAGGTATAGTTAACCCCTTAGTCCCCAGGCTGCTGGCTAAGGCTCATGATCATGACAGGGTCACTGGAGGATGATTGTGGGGAGGGTTCTGTTGAACATACTGAAGGTTAGGAAAGGAGCATGAAAAAGGAGATGGAAAGATTTTTTAAAAAATAGACAAGATGAATCACAAATAGATAAAAATGTGTGATTCTATCAGTTGTGCAGTATGACTCAGTCATGGTTTTTTTAAAGATGCTTTGTGACAAACATCCTACATTACTATAATATACTAACCTCTGTGTTTGTGAAGAGAGTAATGTGGATAGAAAGAAGTACTGAAGTGATCTGAAAGTCTTGAAAATACCACCATCCTCATTCAACTCTGTTTTACTCTTAGATATACAGACACTTTGCATTTATATAATCCAAAATATCAGAGGTCTGTACAAGAATGAATTGAGCCTCAGTATGCCTATGAGGTAGGGCAATATGATTATTTTACAGGTGTTGGTACTAAAGCATAGAAATATTAACTGACTTATCCAAGGTCACACAGGAAATCCTGAGGGGGCAAGGATAGACCTATATCTTATTCTGTCTTCATTCATATTTATGTGCTCCTCAGGAAATATTTTCTCTATTGGGGGGGGGGGAAGGAGTTGAAGAACAGGATAGATTAAATAATTTAATTAAAGGAAATCTACAGCCAAACCAGGGATTGAATCCCAGCCACTTCATCTTCCTGAATGATTCCCAATGCCTGTGCCTTAATCATTTTAACAGCATAAAATACAGCAACAGCGATTTCACTGAAGCTGAAAGCCCAGATTTTCTGCTACAGTTTAGTTGTGGTCTTGTTTATAACTCCCAGTTATGCCTCTATAACTGATGCTGCCTTCCAAGTCTTTTCTGCTGCTTGGCTATGTCTAGACTGCAAGCCTCTTCCGAAAGAGAGCGTCTAGACGGCACACGGAACTTTCGAAAAAGCAAGCCGCTTTTTCGAAAGAAAGCAGCAAGTGAGTCTGGATGCTCTCTTTCTAAAAAGCCCTGTTTGCTTTCAAGAACGCCTTTTTTCGAAAGAGCACTTTCGAAAAAAGGCGTTCTTCCTCGTGGAATTAGGTTTACCGCCGTCGAAAGAAAAGCTGCGTTCTTTCAATTTAATTTTGAAAGAACGCGGCTGCAGTCTAGACGCAGGTGAAGTTTTTTTGAAAAAAGGCTACTGAGTCTGGACACAGCCCTTGCGTAGCTACTAGTTTCATTCCTTTTTTGTATATACACTATTACTTTATATGCCAGCAGCATTTTTAAAATCACCACTACAGCTGTTTTACTTAGCTTCAGTCAATGCTAAAAATAAAGCCATCAGAAATTATAGTTTGTTAATTTCAGCACCACTTTAGTGAAACTGATTTTAAGAGTAGGCTTTTACTCGTCCAGGTAGTTTTAATGGGTCTTTATATTAATTGATACTTTACATATTAGCAGTTCTCATACTCAACCACTACACAAGCTGCATGCATTTTAATAAGATGTATTTTTGACTGATGTGTGAGTAACCACTTTTAATTATGTAGTAGGTAAAAGTCTTCAGTTTAGATTTTTATTTATTTATTTATTTATTGTAATTTCATTTCAATAGGATACTATTGGGCTATTCTGATTATTTTTATTGAGGAAACACCCGAAGTCCCCTTTTGAAATTAGGGTCCCATTGTATCTGGTACCGTACATATATGTTTGTGTAAACCAAGAATCAGAAATTGTAACATTATACAGCCAGTATACAAAAATCTGAACTATATTGTTAGATATAACATGAATTTATGTAGGTTTAATTATTTATTTCCACTAGTGGCCTAATAGTGGGTGAGAAATGGGGCACTATCCGGTTGGTGCAGCAGTGACACATACATTAGGAGACACCTAGAACTTGAGCGGAGATGACACGTTGCCTGGATAAACTTAAAAAACAACAAATGGTCTGGTGGCACTTTATAGGGAACAAAACATGTAGATGGGCTCATGAGCTTTGCAGGCACAGCCCACTGCTTCAGATGACTGGAGTTTTGAGTTCAGGATGTGCAGATCCAAATATTGCCTGGCTGAGTTGGAAGGAGGATGTAATAGGCCCCCTGCAGCCCTGCACTCAAGGCGGGTAATAGAAGCTGTTGCTTTGGGGGCAGCCTGACGCCCAGGAGGCAGCCCTGCACCCAACCTGCAAGCGAGGACCTGGAGGGCTGTAGGCTGGGCGGGCGCCGGTCCGCATCGGGACTGCC